ACAGTTGTAAAATGAACAGTTTGGTGCTGTGACACAGATCTTCCTTTTTTACATTCATGTATAAAAAACTAAACAAACAAACAAACAAGTGCTGCAATAAGAAGCTAAACATATAAAATGAAAAAAAKTTAATGTTTGTTAATTTTTTTGTATTATTTAATAATTCATTCACTAATCCAAAGATCACCTTAACGTTTCTGGTGTTTAATTTATTCACAAACAGAAGAGAGAAAAATAATCTCTCCATAAAAAGTTATTACTCAACCCTGTGAAATTTTATTTTATTTTTCCTGTATTAAACCTCTCTGGGTTCTCTTTTCTGAAAATCTGATTTATGACAAGATGACGTTATAAAACCTAGAAAAAAAAGAAAAAACATAAATAAAACAATAAAACAAGAGAAGATAAGATTCAGTCTCCAAAGACAAACCAGTTTCATTTCACCTGACAGAAACTCATCTACATGTTTCTGTAATTTGTTTACTTCCTGTCAGGACCGGAAGCAGCTAAAGCTTAAAAAGTAGCCTATCTTTTTTTTTTTTTAATCAGCTCCTCGCGCCGTGAGAGTCTCGCGCTTCAATCCAAGAACCGCCTCGGTTTCTCCTCTCCACCTGAGTCGGCTTTAGCCAAGATCAAACAGGATGAGACGCACGTGCGCGGTTTATAGCGGGAACTGAAGAAGGAAAGGGCAGCGATAAAAACAAAAACAGAGGTCTCACTCGTATCGGGTTTGTCGGAACCGTAAAGTCGTGCGACACGGCCGGCGGGCACGACGAAGCCAGAGTGAGCGGTGTGTTAGATAGACGATCTTTGTCAGATGTTTTAGCTGCACAGAGAAGAAAGTTTTCTGTTTTTAGGTGAGAATCATGTGTGCAGCTTGTGCAAACAKGTAAGAGACAAAAGCTCGTGCTCAGCTGTCCTGCAGGTGTGATGCAGGAAAAATCTGAGGGGAGTCATATCTGTAAAATGATTCAGGACCTCAAAGCTCCACACCTGAACGTCGAGACAGAGAATTAAAAAAAATCAGTAAAAACATCCTGCAACAAACCAGTTTTTGACAAATCAAATTGAAAACATAAAATGTGAGCTAGATTATTTTTAAACAGTAATTCAGCAGCAGAACTCGAACCTCATCCTTTCAGCAGAACCCACATGGTTCTGCTTTTTCCATACAAGACCTGATATGTTCAGACCCAGGATTTACTCCTGTCCAGTTGTAAAGCAGCTGTTTTTATACAGTATATATTGTTTTTTTTTGTTGTTGTTTCATAATGAATATTTAATGGATTTATCAGAGTTCCTAAATATTTTGAGGTGTATTTTAGATGTCTTTCTTTCTTCATTCAGGTCAACAGTGTGTCTTT